CAACATTTCGCCGCCAATAGGATAGTGCTGTTACGCAGAAAAAATTTGAAAAGTTTATGCGATTTTATCAACAACTATTAATCATAAATTATACTACCAATAACAATAACAACGAGAGTAAAAATGGAAGCAGTAGTCTTCAAAACAATTGTAGTAGAAAATAATAATAAAAAAATTACATGTCTACTGTTTTATGGAAATTGCTGAAAATTTTGTTTAAAAAACAATAAAATTTATTTATTTATGTCTTTAATGATTTTAGTGAAAATATTATACTTTGGCTAAAATATTAAAGTTGAATAATACATTGTTTATTTAATTAAAAATTTTGTAAATTAAAATGTGCTAGTTCTTGAACTGAGTACTATAAAACATGAGCCATCAAATAGTTTTATAAAAATGAACTTCAAACTAAATAACTAACTAACTAACTATTATTTACTTATTACTATCCTGGTAATATAAGAATTAAATCCTAATAATTTAAATTAGTTAATTCTTTTTAATTAATAATTAATAACATTATTTTTAATTTAAATATGAAAAACCCAATAATTTATTGGTCTCCCACCAAATAGATGCACTAAGAGGGGTTTTTTGGAAATTTGAATGTTTAGATGGTAGAAACGGGTAAATTCGGTAACCTTATATCTCCTAAACTAGAAAATATACAACAACAGTTTAAAGCTTATCGTCGTTCATTAAAAAAGTAAGCGGACAGGTGTCTGACAATAAACGGGCAAACGCTGTATTTGGTAACTTATATATATGTACATATGTATTATATGTACAGTGGACGTCCACTAGTACGAATTATATAGTGTCAGGCCCTTTCGTAATACCGAAAAATTCGTATTATTGAACAACACATTTTGTATGTTTAAATTCAAATAATACACATAAAATATTGGATTTTATTTATTTTTGTTTTATTTTTCATGAAAAATTACATAACGGAACAAAATATAATAAATATGTATTATTTTAAATAAATTTCTTGTACATAAACAGGCATAAAATGGACATATTTACGTATATGAATTGTTAATTTTGAAAGTATCGTGAGTCCAATGGTTGAAATGAGATATATGTAGAAGGTTTTAAATTTTAATGTTTTTAAAAAGATGTGTGCCAAAGACAATTTGCAATTTACATATGTGTTCTAAAATGTATTAAAATGTTCAGATTACATAAAACTTTTATTAGAAACTTGAATGGAATATACCACAATTCTCTAATTTATAATTTTCTCTTAAAAATTAGAATAGTTATCCTTAAACCGATTGTTTGGAATGTGGAGTCACACTACTTTCAAAATTAACAGTTCATACATACATATGTATATAAATATCATTTTACTTATTAAAAAATCCATCATTTAACATCGATGTTTATTACATTGTAAAAGGATTTTTACGGCTTTTTCAATAACAGCGTTTTTGAGGCTTCAATATTGTTCTCAGCAGAGTTATTGTCGGGAACTAATAAAATACTTTCCTATTGGCGTTATCATCCAATTAAATTTCTTCTCTTGGGTCATCAAAATTCCAATAAAATAAATTAATAACACTAAATAATTGTTGATTTGTAAATACAGTAGTTTTTCGATTTAACGAACCTATATGTTGTCAGGCCTGTTCGTTAAATCGAAAAGTTCGTTATATGCAGTACTAACTCGAAAGTGTCTTTTGGGTACATAAATAATTAAAATTACATAAAATCTAATTTATAAAAATATGTTCCAGGAAATATAATTTCTTTAGACAATATTTTATAAGAATTTTATGAAAAACTAGCAATTTATATCACAATGTAAAAACAATAAAGAAATTTGAAAAAACTCAGTTTATTTCGTATAACTAATCTACGTTCTGGAAAAGCACTCGGACGACATAATTCTTAAAGAAGTTTAAACCCAATGGCTGGAATTGCGATGAATCTGAACCTGGCCTCAGAATTCCTTAGGAAATAGATTAATGTAAAGTTATTAAAGCGTTTCATTGTTTCACAGTTTCATTGTTTTCATTCTTTGAGATATCTGATTCCAAAGTTTTTTGAAATATTTTTCCTTTATTTCACAGCTATTCCTGTAAATATCCTTTTTCCAAAAGAAAAACTATTTATATCGTTTATTCTATAACATATCGTTTCCAATTCTTAGAATTGGAAAAAATTATGGTCACAGTGGGGACTTGTTAGTTTGGCGAAAAATAAAAGCGAAATGTTAAGGTATACGATTGGCTAAGTCTTTATTTTGAACAGCAATTTCTATGATTTCAAATTCTGAGGCCAAATTCGGGTTGAGCACGAGCTTCTAGAAAAGTATACTTTGGCCTCATTGTACAACATTTTTTGTTTCGATTTTCTAATTCGATCGACATTAGTTTTTGCGACATTAAGGATTGTGGATTTGATTATCTCATATTTTTGTATAAATCTTTAATAAAAAAATCTCAGATTATCTAGAATATTCATTTTACTAAATTAGAAAAAATCAACTCTCGAAATCCATATTCGAAAGCAATGGAAAAGTAATAACGTCGAAGCTTTTCTGACATGATTTTTAGTTATTTTTGTTAATTTAACTCTAATTTAAATTATTTTATTTATATTTGTTCGTTAAACTGAGTACAAAACATATTTTTTGTTCGTTATGTAAGGTACTCAATGTAAAAATATTGATAGTTCGCTAAAGACGATGTTCGTAGAAACGAATGTTCGTTAAATCGGAAAACTACTGTATACATGCAGTAAATTGTATGTATAGGACTTTTAAAAATACAAAACACTTGTAATAAATACAAAAAAACTACAAAATTACTGAGCTTAAGGTGAATGATACCGAAATAATAAAATAAAAACATAATAAAAACTTCATTCATACGTAAATAAAACCAAAATTCCCATAAAAAATGCGTTATTCGTACTATCGAACAGAAAAATTGTGACTTTATTCGTACTATAGAGTAGACAATGCAACAATTTTGCCATTCGTATTATTGGATATTCGTAATAAAGAGTATACGTACTATTGGACGTCCACTGTATTATGTATGATGAATACATGATAACGGGATCCCACCATGATGTTGTAACTTTTTGGAATACAATTTTTATTTCGTTAATAGGGAGAAAAAAAGTACCGAAAGAGGATAAAAACGGGAATTTTGATTTTATTCAAACACAATGAGTCAATTTCGATAAAATTTTTAGATTTAGAAACACTAAATATGCTAATAGGGAGTTATTTGGAACCCCGATAGCAAGTACTTTTTCGTTCTCCAAATGGTACTTTTTAGGTTTTCTATAATATCAAAATCGAAACATGAATATAATAATAAAGTCTTTTAGGTACATTTTCGTTCTTCACTGTTACTTTTTGAGTAATCTTTAAAATTAAACCTAGAAACATGGCATTAAGAATGTAGGGCCCGGAGAAAATGAGAACTTATAAAATGGGATTTTTTGGTACTTTTTCGTTCTTCAAAAGGTACTTTTTTAATTTTCCATGATATTGAATCTAGAAACATGAAATTAAGCAATCAGGGACTTGAGTGAATGGAAATTTAAAATGGAGTATTTTCTGGTCTTTTTTAAATAACTGGTACTTTTCGAAATTTCTATAATATTAAACTTAGGAACATGAAATTAAAAAAAAGACGTCTCTTGGTACTTTTTCGTACTTCAACTGGTACTTTATGAGTTTTCTAAAATATTGAATATATGTATAAACATAAAATTAAACACGCAGTATCCTAATTGAACGAAAATTTAAAAAGGAAACTTTTTGGTATTTTTTGATCTTTTACTAATACTTTTCGAATTTTCTATAATATTGAACCTAAACCTAAAATTGGACACGCAGCTTCTGTATATGAAGAATTTCTGGTTGAAAATTAAACATGCACCTTCCTGATTCGATGAAAATCTAAAATTAAACTTATAGGGTCGTGAGAACTTTCACATTCATTTCTCGTCAAGATAGCGAAAAGGTTTCTTTATCAAATATTGTCGACGTGTGCTGAAGGAGTCAAATTTTTACAATTTGTTGAGTTGAGTATGTAAGCTATTTTTTCGGGAAAATAATATAAGAAAGTGATACAATAAATGTTTAGGGCATAGCTTCGCCCTGATAAACAACTGAAAAAAATGAAATTCAAAAGTAACCAAAAAATCTGGAATTATTGAACAAAAATTGTATATTTTAGTATATAGAGTTGGATTTGGAGAATGTAGAGTATTGTTTATTCAGGTTTTTTCGTTGGTCTTCGCGGATCCCCTAGGATTTTGCTACGTACCACTAGGGGTCAGCGGACCACCATTTTGGAACCGTTGCTCTAACAGAAGCGAGAATGCAAGCACTTGACTGGCAATGACACACAATTGAAATTAGTTCACAATGTAGCCGGGTGTGCTTGTGTCTGCAAAATAATGATAATGGATCTGCTGGCTACCATGTTACCGCCGACTGCTATTGAAAATAAATTAACTTTTGTCATCTCGTAATAAGGTACTGAAGTTCCAAATTTTTTGCCAAATTTTTTGTCCTTAGGCCAATGTTTGGTGATCTGGATCAAATAATTAAAATAAACTTTTTTAAAGTTTTTCCTATTTTATTTATATTTCACGTAAAGAAATGATAATTAATTTTGATATCATGTGAAAGGTCTTTGAGAGGCGCTTTTAATGGCGTATTACAAATTAAAGTAAAAAAACAAATTAAAATGTTATTTAGTTTATTCAAAATTTTATTATATAGATTAACCTATGCGGCAAAAGTTAATACCTGGGAAAATATAAATTATATTTTGGTGTTATAAATTATATACAAAATCCCACTTTTTTATCTCTCGGATTCCGTTTTTATTAAAAATCTTTGAAAATTTAAAAATTAAACGTATTTGAGAACATAGTCGACTTACAGTCGATTTTAAGACGCCGCCAATATTTTTAGTGTCAGCCGCCGCCGTCGTTAATATTTGTCGGCGCAGGGCTCTGGTGAGTGTTTTTTAGTTTTCCCACAGATGACGAAGTTTTTTTAATAAGTTTTTTTCAACTAAATAATTAAGTAATTAAAGTGTGTTTGATGTGAAAATAAAAGTGAGTTGCAATTAATTAAACTTCTAAACAATAAAATTAATATGAAATTCAACTAAGAAACACGGTGAATTTGTTAGGAAACTAAAAAGAATTAGATAAAATTTCACCTGCATTTTAACACACAAAAGAAAAAACACTGCCCATCATCTCCAGCAAAAAAATGACACAAAATTAAGAAATAAAGGCAGTAAAATATGGAAGAGGAGGAAGGAGTAGAAAGAGCAAGAAGTTAAGAATAAGGTGAAGTGCTAAAAAATAGAATTCAATTAAATTAAAATAATAAAAAAGGGCGTATTGTGTGAAATTATTAACACTGACATACATAAATTCTTAAATATAAAAATAAATCAAAACAATAAAGAAAAGCAGACATATAAATCTATTAAGATGAGTTCAGGGTGAGGTGTTGTCGTTTTCTAAAGATTTTAAAATTGGGTGGTGTTTTATGAAATAAAATTGTATGTCATTGTTGTTGTTGTTGACTATTAAAATAATTCATCATCAATATGTGTTTATACCTACTTCTCTATTCATTATCATCATTGAACATTCAACATGTTCATAGCAGACGGGGCATACACATGCCTTCTGGCCACTCGTAATCATAATACCAAAACCATAATTATTATAATACGAATATGTAATTGTAATATGTAAATGAGTTTGATAATAGCTATAGAAACGTGGACCAAAGGAAAGGTATGGAGAGTTTGTTAGTTGGCTACCGATAAATTGTTTTTTGCTTAAATTTTTTTAGGGAGTTGACTCTGACGCCACTTAATGACGGTAATGTCCATAATATTGAATTTGCAAAAACAAGCAAAACAATTACTGAAGTTAACAATTATGACAAAAAAAGCTTTGCGCGTTTTTAAGTTATTTATTGTCATACTCGTAAATCGCTACAATCTGGAGGGTAATATGGATTTGTGCTGATGTTTGCACAAACCAGTAATATTGGAGTTATGTAAAATCTATTGAATTGTTATTTATAAATTCAATCCAAACCATATTCTAGAAGAGTTATTTGGGATCTTATTTTGATTGTGATAACATTTTCGCTTTAAGAAAAAATTAGAACATTTTTGACCCTAGTCTTCGTACAAGGTCCCTTCAAAAATGTTTAAACATTAATAATTGACCAATAACTATTAATATACAGAATAAATTTATCATTAAATGATTTATATAAAACTAATAGGTATCCTTCAATAAATTGATTAAGTATAATGGATCTAAAGCCATACATACATGGATCTAAAGCCATACATACATATAAAGGTCTAGCGTAGAGTATCAAATGGTCGATCATGTCTGATTATACTTTTACCCGTTGCACAGTGGGGCAGAATGGAAATTTTTTGGAAATAAATCTGGCATTTCTAAACGGCTGATCCGATCGGGATAAAATTTGGCGTGAGCGAAGCCAAGGAGTATTCGAGTTTAAGTTTTGAAGATGAACCCTGCAGATGCCCCAGGGACGGCGCTGTGGCGGCTCAAAGTAGGGTACCTACGACATGTAAAATTTTTAAACTCGTGCCATTTTTTTGTTTTTCACCCAAATACAAAGATTTTTATATTTTGTGAAAGCGCTCGACGAGATCTTGAAAAAACATGCTTGGACATACTACTTATCTCTTATAATATCCGAGTTATAGGCATTTAAAAATTTAGTGATACAAAATTTACCATACCTTGATCCGCCTTTTTTTGAATACCGGGCGTAATTTTGGACCAAATGGACTCAATTTTTTCTTGTTAGTTAGACAACAAAATTTCCAATAATATACAAAAAATTTCAGATCAATATCGTTTACAGATCCAAAAATATACGTTTTTTAATTTAAAAATTCAAAAAATTTTAGATTTTTGGCGTTTTTTTGCCAAAAATGTGTCTTAACTCTTTTATTAATAAAATAAAATTTTTATTAAGAACATATAACAATTTTATAGTTTTCTAAAAGGTATCTTTACGCAGAACGCTTTGGCGTAAAAAACTTGTCCTATTTTTTGAAAATGTTGCCACTGCGTCCTTCCGAATATGACCTATCTTTTATCAAAACTTCAACTTTGGGCGACATGTTCTAAAATCCCAAAGCTGGGATCAGAAAACTGAAAGCAGTTTTGGAAACCTCAATATGTTTTCTATTTACTCCAAAAGTATTTTCCCAGCCCTGAAAGAAATGTGGACCCTATGGGCAAAAAAGTAAAAAATCCCATTTTTGGGATTTTCATTCCTATTTTTGGGAATTGCGGGATGCCCTTTGACCTTTTCAATTTTTTTTTTGCATATTCTTATTTGAAATGACAAATTTAACAAGCGTTGAAAATTTCATTGAGTTTTGTTCATAAATAAAGATTTTGTCATATATTACATATTTGTTTAATTTCTAAAACTATGATTTATATCAAAATTTTAATAGGATCGCAGATAGCTACAACAATTTAGTCCATATTTATCCCTTAATATCATTTTTTAGTTAGATATGGAAATTCTCGACCCTTTACAAAAAATTTCAAGCCAATATCTCAGTTACATTCAAAAATATGTTCATTTAAACCTGTGTCCTTTAATTTCATCTTTTTCATATTTTAGTATTAAGTATGACAGCACATATTTAAATCTTATATTTACCTATTTTCTATTTGTTTGCTTATCCTTATAATTGAAAGGTCCTATTATGCTTGAATTTTCAAAAATTTATAACCATTTTTTACCTAAATTTTTCGACAGATCATTTCGCTCTGTTTCGTTTATGATCATGTAGGTAAAAATATACAGGTAATGATAATTTCGATTCATTCACTAATAAGAAATATCAATGACTGAATTACAGGTTATAGTAGGACTGTTAATAGGTAGACAATTCGTAATTTTTTACTTTGGAATAGCTGTATCGGAAATGACAAGAATTGGTATATAAGTAAACTTCTCAGATTTTAAGTACCATATTTAATAAATCTACAATGAAGATTACATTAAAGTACGAAGAGTTGTGTTCCGTTTTATGGAGTATATCTTCAAAAGGGCCAGAAAGAATTGAAGACATTTCAAATTATATAAAAACTACATATAGTAGAAAAGTAGACAAAACAGGCATATCAAAAATTGAAAACTTTTTAAAACTTTTTGATGTAAAAAGTAAGTCTGTGGATGGAAATCAAAAGAAATTTCGATTAAAATTTTGTAGTTGGATGGAAACTACTACGGAAATCTCAACTTACAACACATCAACAGGAGCGCCTTGCAAGTCATACGAAGACTTATGTTCAAGGTAAAAAAAAAGAGGGTCACACAAAAACTTTTTTCAATCTCAAATGAGGAAATTGCTGATACATTTAACGAAATGCTGAAAAAGGAAAACCAACCTATGGATGTCGTACATATTGCAACTATTCTTCCTAATGCATCACCAAAACGACTTAAGCGAATTGTGGAAAGTATACCAACTCCAACATCATAATCAAATTTTACTGAAGAGGAAGCAATAGCGCTTATGTTGGAACTGGGTCTCAGTCGAAATAAGTACCAAATATTAAGGAAAGCTCTGCATGAAAAAGGACACAATATATTACCATCATACAAGGCGATCCAGGAAAAAAAAAAACAAACTATCCTACTAAATCAACAAAAAATAATGAAGAATTGAAAGAACTGAGAGCTGCGGAAAAAAGCATAATCCAAGAAGAATTTAAAGTTCAGATGGGATTAAACATCGACAAACCACTTTCAAGTTGCGGTAGTACAAATGACGGTAATACGTCGAGAAGGTTTTTTCGTGATTTTGAAATTACTTCAAAAATAACTGGAATCGACAAGGAGTTGCTTCGAAGAGTTAAAACTATTTTAATGGCACTGAATAGTAAACATAAAATTAATGAAAATCGATTTGGGGAATACACATCTGAAATTTCTAAATTACTTGTATCTCTGTATCCATGGAGGGAACTAACACCAACAGTACACAAAGTATTGTGTCATGGTCAAATAATAATTGAATCGAATATTCTTCCACTTGGAGAATTAACAGAAGAAGCCCAGGAAGCGAGGAATCGAGATTTTAAGCATGTTCAACTATTCAGCTCAAGAAAATGCTCCAGGCAATCACAGAATGAAGATATTTTAATAGTTTACTTCTATCTTCTGATCCTGTTCTTTCAACTATGCGAAAAAGATGGATTTGTTATGAAACTCTATCATCTCAAAACAAGGAAGATTTAAAGGACTTATATTACCTTCTGGATATGTATACCGATATGACAGATTATTTTATAGAAAATAAGTAGTGTTAGGAATTAACTATATAAGTAGGTTGTAAGAATTAATTGTATTATGTTTAAGATAAACAGTTCAAATAAAAAAAGCTATTATACTAACTGATGATATTGTATTAAATTGTGTTTTATATTTCGGTGGGCGGGAAAGGTAATTTGTGTGGGGTGATTTAGGTGTTGTTGTACGTGGCTCATAATAAAATTATAATTTTTTTATTTTATATACAATATTATAATAAAATAATTAACTAAATAATTTTTAAAAATTGTCCAAATATTTTATTCAACACCAAATGTATGTTCTGTCATACTTAATACTAAAATATGAAAAAGATGAAATTAAAGGACACAGGTTTAAATGAACATATTTTTGAATGTAATTGAGATATTGGCTTGAAATTTTTTGTAAAGGGTCGAGAATTTCCATATCTAACTAAAAAATGATATTAAGGGATAAATATGGACTAAATTGTTGTAGCTATCTGCGATCCTATTAAAATTTTGATATAAATCATAGTTTTAGAAATTAAACAAATATGTAATATATGACAAAATCTTTATTTATGAACAAAACTCAATGAAATTTTCAACGCTTGTTAAATTTGTCATTTCAAATAAGAAAATGCAAAAAAAAAAAATTGAAAAGGTCAAAGGGCATCCCGCAATTCCCAAAAATAGGAATGAAAATCCCAAAAATGGGATTTTTTACTTTTTTGCCCATAGGGTCCACATTTCTTTCAGGGCTGGGAAAATACTTTTGGAGTAAATAGAAAACATATTGAGGTTTCCAAAACTGCTTTCAGTTTTCTGATCCCAGCTTTGGGATTTTAGAACATGTCGCCCAAAGTTGAAGTTTTAATAAAAAATAGGTCATATTCGGAAGGACGCAGTGGCAACATTTTCAAAAAATAGGACAAGTTTTTTACGCCAAAGCGTTCTGCGTAAAGATACCTTTTAGAAAACTATAAAATTGTTATATGTTCTTAATAAAAATTTTATTTTATTAATAAAAGAGTTAAGACACATTTTTGGCAAAAAAATGCCAAAAATCTAAAATTTTTTGAATTTTTAAATTAAAAAACGTATATTTTTGGATCTGTAAACAATATTGATCTGAAATTTTTTGTATATTATTGGAAATTTTGTTGTCTAACTAACAAGAAAAAATTGAGTCCATTTGGTCCAAAATTACGCCCGGTATTCAAAAAAAGGCGGACCAAGGTATGGTAAATTTTGTATCACTAAATTTGTATATGCCTATAACTCGGATATTATAAGAGATAAGTAGTATGTCCAAGCATGTTTTTTCAAGATCTGGTCGAGCGCTTTCACAAAATATAAAAATCTTTGTATTTGGGTGAAAAACAAAAAAATGGCACGAGTTTAAAAATTTTACATGTCGTAGGTACCCTACTTTGAGCCGCCACAGCGCCGTCCCTGGGGCATCTGCAGGGTTCATCTTCAAAACTTAAACTCGAATACTCCTTGGCTACGCTCACACCAAATTTTATCCCGATCGGATCAGCCGTTTAGAAATGCCAGATTTATTTCCAAAAAATTTCCATTCTGCCCCACTGTGCGTTGCTGTTTTTGTATTTCTTTTTTGTTCTTCATATGCGATTTTTAATATTTTATGCAAATCACATTTATTTTTTAATGTTTATGGTTTTAATTGATCAGTCAGCAAATGAAGGAAAAAAGTGTGAAATGGTTTATTGACTTGGAAAAGAGTGCTGAACAGACACCAAACATGGCTACATTTTAAAATATTTTTATTTAAACTAGGGGGTGAACATTACTTCCTATCCCTAATATTAATTTATTTCATTAATATGGTGTCAAAAAGCAATTAGAATTTCTTCACTACTAATGGAAGAAAAAATATGGTGGCGAATATAATTATAATTAAGAAAATTAAACACAACTATAATTTGACTTTAAGACGCCCCAAAAAAGACAGTGTTAGGTTTCAAAGATAATGTTATTTAACACTATTCTATATTAGTATTGTGCTAATAATAGTTCCTAAGTTAGTTCTTAAAATTTCATTTAGAAATAGTGTATTTTTTTAATTAAATAAGTTTTCAATAAGTTTTTTTCTTATAACAAGAATATCGTATAAAGAAACCCATAACAATAACAAAAACAACAACTATAATTTAAACGTCCAATTAGTCATCTTTTATTGACTCGTCGTTAAAGTGAAACAACAACAAAAACAAAACAAATTAAATAAACAAATGTGCTGAGGGTATTCTCTCATTTTGTTGTGATTTATATTTGTATTGCATTCTTCTTCAATACGTGCAGTTTATTATATATTTTATTGTTTTTGTTGTAAATACATATTGTAATCAACAACAATTTAATATTAACACTTTTTTTCTTCTTCGTTTATTTTATCTACAAATATTAACACATTTACATATATATTCTGAGACGTATGTAAAGTACATTGTACATATGTACTCTTATTATCTCTGGTGTTGTTGGGTTTATTTGGCTTTTTTTCTCTTTTGTGTTTAATAAATTTGTACTTCAATATTGTACGCTCCAATTGGGGAGTATAATAAGTTTGTAGTTTAGTGATCTTTGAGTAAAGAAAATTTGTTTACAGAGAGTAAGATCGAAAGAAAACAAATTACTTATACAACTACAATAGTTATGAGTGGGGTTGCCATAAATGAAGTATTTAAAAAATAATCATTTTTGTTTGAAATTCCAAATTTGATAAAAATATCGGGGCCTTTCGGACAAATCATGTTGTACATATTACTTTATTGGCGCTGCATTCAATTGCTGACAATTATTTCTATAATATTGAAACTGTAAAACAATTTTTGCGTTTTAGATCAGGAATGAAAATCTTTCTGACCCTAATAGATATCTAATAAACTAGTTCATAGACTAGATAACTGTGCATAGTCTAGTCAACAATTTTGAACTGTTATATATTTCATAGCCAATTCATATGTTGCACTTTTAATCTCGGATTAGTACTCTTTTTGTTAAGATTAGTACTATTTCAGATACGAAACAAATACTTTATATTTATAAGCTGAGGGTAAGATAAGGTTTTTCTTAGCATTTCTCCAAATAGGAGCTCTTGAATAACATTGCTTCCAATATACATATTTGGATCTAATTTCGGCGAAAGTGAGGCAATGACAAAGACAGCGTTCCATACTTTCGCTGTCGCTCTGTCACATACTTACTTAAGTCTTGTGGAGATCTTTCAAATCAATATGAGTTTATAGAAAGAGTCTTCTCTGCTAAATGTTTTAATACAATTTGTCAGCCCTATTTCCATATTTAAAACTTTGTGATCTCTAAAACCCCATTTTACAAATACTAATCACTAATCTTTCCATTTAGCTGGCAACATCAATACCCAAGTCTTCAAAGAATTCTGCTACTCTTAAAAGAGAGAGGGAGCTCTTCCATCTTGCATGTGTATGTATGGGATGGTTATTATTATTTGTTTTTCATATTTATTTGTGTGTTGAGGTAACCAACAACCGATTGGAGCTGTTAGTCAGACTAAAAGTGAATTCAGTTAGTTTGTGTAGCTGCTACTTAGTGTACTCGTAAGTGAAATAAACGGCGAAACGAAAAAAGCGTGTGATTCTAATAACAAAACAACTACAAAAAATAAATACATAAAATAAAGATATTGTTAGTAATTAAAAAGAAAAAAAAAACGAATAAAAAAACAACAAACTAACAAAAATTCTGAAACATACAAGAAGACGTAAAGTGAGGAGACAAGTGAAAATTAAAAAAATAAAATAAAAAATATTAATATACGCATCGTGTTTTTCACACCCCCCTTTTAGCCCCTAAAATTCAACACAGTTGGTGTTGTTTTTATGTGTATTTACAGATAGATATATGTACAATCTAAGTTCTATATATACAAAAGTCATACAAACACATGGATTTCGTTTATCGTTAGTTCTTTTTTTTTTTTTTGGTGTTGATGAGCAGAGTATTATGGTTCTAGTATTCGTAAACGATGAGCAACATATGGTTTTCGGTTAAACCGAATGTCTGTCCTTCCATATGTGTTTGGGCCTGCGTTTGCTGTTGTTATGATTTTATTTAGTTTTACTTTTGGAATATTTTGTTAAAAAAAAAAAACAAGATTTTTTCAATTAAATTTCTGTAGTTTAAATTACATTTGTTTAGCGTAGTAATTATACCATTGTGATGTGATGGTGGTGGGTGTTTTAATTTTTTATAAACGTTTTTTTACAAACACAAACTTGTGTGTATTTTGCATTCATTCTGCTGGCCACTTGATCCATATTTTTAAAGTTTCGTGTTTGGAATCCATTCATAGAATTATATGTTTTACTTGTTGTATAAGACTACAAGTACGAAGTTAGATTGAAAAGTCTTTTAAAATTTAGTTTATTTTACCTTATATTTCTACATTTTTTAGATATTTACTGTGAGTTTTTTAAAGTTTTTCAAATTCCTTGATTAATTTTAGTTAATTTTTTTTAAAGAACTTTTACGATGTGGCTTATATAAATATGTTAGTAATGTATGATAACTAGTTTATATTGCCAATTTGTTTTCATTTGATTTCGATTAAGAGCTTTTTGGAATGTATGGTTAATTTCCTACCCCTACGCAGATAAGCCGGTAAGCTAAAGGAGGCCAACACACCAACAAATAGCAACATTAAAAACAACAACAATAACAATAATGACATAAATAAAATAGACATAACTTAGTTATAATAATTTAATATAAAGTGATACAAAGCAATCTATAAAAAAAAACGGGCGGTGTTCTAAAAAAACCTAAAATAATAAATAAAAATCTATTATATAATAACCAAATACAAGTGAATAATACTCGTTTTTTTGCAAACAAACAAAAATCAATTTACGCTTGCGTGTTTCCTTGTTCGAAAAAAACGGAAAAAAAATCCAATATATCATTGAAAAAAATTTAAATAATGAATTGAAATTTATGTGATCTTAAATTAGTTTTTAATAAAATTCGTATGATTTTAGTGTTTTTCCTTATACTTTCTCTTCTGCTACTCTCTGCCTCCATCTCTCCTCTCTACGTATCGTGTACTCGTAGTTACGCTCAATAATATTCAGTCAATTTAGTTATTTTTATATACGTCGATCATAAATTGCTTAAAAACAACAAAATTACCTCATCTTTTTCGTGTGTGTTTTTTTTATAAATTTATTTTTTTAAATTGTTTTTTTTTTTTTTTTGCTACTGGTTCTCTAAAACAACATCATCAACATATGCTGATTTTATTTTTGTGTTTAAATTTTTTTTCTTATTTCAAGTTTGTATATGATCGTGATTACTTTTTGTGTTCTTTATTAAACAAAAAACAAAAATATTAATAAAAAACAATTTGAACGAGATTTTATTTTGCAACAAATTCAACTGAAACAAACGTATAATTTTTGTAAGTACTTTTTTATTTAGTTTATTTTTTATTTTTATCTTAAATTCATAATTTGTTTTTTTTTCATCATAATTTTATTTACAAAATATTTTTTATTTTACTCATACTTTTTTACACAAAATTGTTTACCTACACACATATTCATACAGTTTCTACCACTGACTCAATGCTCCGTATGTGTGTATGTAGGTATGTCATGTCTTGTGTATGGGTCATTTCATGAATATTTCAAAAGTTTTAGTTTCTTAATTAAATCAATTCTTTTTTTATACAATTAAAATTTTAAATAATATTGTTTATTTATGACTCATATTTATGAAATATTCAATACATTTTTTTGTTTGTTATGTTTTTGCGATGACGCAAGATCGTTTTAAGTTTTTTTTTCATAATTTTCAATTTTAGTGCAGAATTTATTAAAATATGTATAGATTGTTATCTTTAGATTTCTCCGCACCCTCCGTGATATATAATGTTCATATCATTAGATCCAAAAAATTATTTTGTGAATATCTTATTTTTTATTTTATAAAATGGGTTCTTGAATTTTAATTTTAAAGGAAATATTAGTTTAAAAATTAATAAACTTTACTCCTTATGTTTCGGTTCTATGTTCTTATACCCGATAAAGTGGGGAGAGTAGTATGTGTTTGTGATGATGTTAGTAACACTCACCTTAAAGTATAACAATCGGCTCAGAATAACATTCTGAGTCTATGGCCGTCCAGGGTCTATGATGGGAATCGGACCCACCACCCACAGAACTAGCACAAGTTCGGGAATAATATTATTTGTAGTTGAATATTACTCAAGTATACCCAGTAAATCGATAAAGAGCATTCGAACAAGAATGCTCTTACTTTTAACCAATATTTTGGCTCAGGCCCGCAGGACTTGTCCTGGCTGGTCAGTTGTTGTGGTTTAAACCCAAATTCGCGGAAAGAGTGAGTTGTGGTTAAAATAATGAAGCACGGTATATTTCGGTGCTGTTGCTGAATGACAACAGATACCCCACAGAGGAGTGACTGTGGGATAATCGTTGGTGCTAATTGTATATGATACAGGATGAATGTAGGGGTATACGGTCCTGGTATGTTCAGAGTAAACTCTGATCATACCAGAATTACCACAGTGTGTCACTGTAAGTAAGAACAAAGTCTCGGCTTGTTTGATTCGGTCTACCGGTTACGTCTCTAGGTGGTTTTGCCGACTCAACAGAGACCATCCCATCTGCGTGGTTGTAAACGGAAGTCATGTTTTTGCATCTCGGAAGTTAAGCAAAGGGGCAGCAATGGTCAGAGATTAGATAGCTCATGTACTTGAGCAAAGTGCTCGTATACCGGACTGGAACTCCCATATAAGTAAATTGTAAGAAGCACAATGGGGCGGTGGTGAGTCGTCACCCAGCGATTGAAAAAGACCACCGTGAAATAGGCCAACATGGCAGGTGTTCACGTAAAGCACTTCGACATTTCTTGTCTTTTCTCTCTCTTCTATTGTAATCTATGAAGTGACTATTGACATCTTCGTAGGACAAGCACTTGTTAAAATATGTAGAAAATTGGGCAATTGGAGGCTAGTGGTAACCCAAGTGGTCGGATAAATAGGTAATTCGGGACATTCCGTCCGAACTGTTGGGACTTTAAAATCGCTCAAGTATATTAAATACTAAATTGAATAGCCCATATTCACAAGATCTTGCCAACATTTTGTCATCTTTTGAAAAGATAAAAAACTTCATTTCAATGTCTCTTTTTTGTAAATTGTTTTCTTCTTTAAGGGCGTTTTAGTTTAAGTAAATATTTTTTTATTACTTAATGTTCTACTTCATTTTATTTTTTTAAAAGATTTAAATTACAAACAAAAAGTCAAGATCACTTTTATTTTGTAAAACGAAGAAAGCTAAATGTAATTTATTACCTGAAATGTAAACAAATTTGTGAAAAAAAACACATTTTATAAAAAGTACGTGTGCATAAAGAAATTTTTTAAATACACTTTAGTAACTAAAAAAACAAAGTTTTTTTATACATAGATTTCTTTTATTATTTTCTTCATTTATTTTTATTATAATTTGTTTGTATTTAGAAAATTCTCATAAAAACAACATAAGCAGACATATTCGTTCATTTACACATTTTTGGATTTGGTTGCTTAAAAAATGTTTATTTTTAGTTTTATTAATTTCTTTTTTTTTTGTTTAATACCAGCAAAACTGCACACACATATCGGGAATTTGAAAGAAAAGTTAAACAAAATTATGGAAAATATAAAAACTGTCATTAAAATATGTCTGGCAAAAAAAATTTACTGCACAAACAAAATTTTACTTTAATTTTTTTTTTTTATTTTTCAAAATGTATAAACAACAAATTCATATAAATAGCTAGTTATGTTTTTTCTACAGCTTAGGTCAGCAAATTAGTAAAAATTTTTAAATTAATTTTTGGCAAAATGCATATTGTTTTGTATGAGTTAGTTCGAAAGGAGCATGTACATATATACATCAAATCCGAAGAAATACACCTAGGTCTATAACGGGCCTGTTGTGCGCTCCTTAAAGTGCCTCAGGTGGGAATCGAACCCACCAACAACGTTTAACATAATTATAAACTCAAATGCCCTATTCAGGGGTTACGGTTGTATGGGGGCTAGGCGAAATAATGTATCGATTTCATCCTTGGGTCGAAAGAAGAGTATGAGCAAAATTTTATCAAATTATCTTAAAAATTGCGACCTGTAGCGTGCGCACAAGGTTTACAGACGGACATACAGACAGATGGACGGACGGACAGACGGACATAGCTTAATCGATTCAGAAAGTGATTCTGAGCCGATTGGTATACTGTAAGGTGGGTTTACTTTCGATTGCGACAATAACTCTTGTAAAAGGACCAAATGTCTTGAATCACCGACAAATATTTCTAAATCATAAAACATTTCCAATCGATGTTCCAAGTCGCTGGGTCAATACGACAATCATTCTTGTAAGAAGTCCAAATGTCATGATGAGGATTTAGTCCAATCTGAGTGCTCTATTTTCGATATGTTAATGTAATGATCTTCTATCACAATCTTTCTAATCACAAATCGTTTCTTATTTATAGTAAAACATATAATCCCTTCAATTACTAAAATGATGATCTAACGTGATAAATTAATCATATTAGATGCAAAATATGCTTTTTAAGATAAAATATGCAAAAATATTCACATGCATATTTTCTATTTTACTGGAGCTTTAAATAAATATCCAAAATTCTTTATTTCTAATTAACTGATATCAGCTGTAAATTTATTTGTATATATATAGTCATCCATTAATGTATGAAAATAGATTTTTATGTTCACAAATATACATATCTCTCTAATAAACAAATACATATAGACAAATGTTCAAATAAATATGCAGTATGTCTATGTAGTTGTATTATCTACAAGTGGAGGCGTCATTTATGTCCAAAAGTGGAAACACATATTTTTCTTGTCGGCGTTACAAGTGTACAAAAAAAATAAGTACGAATTAATAGAATTTGTATCTTTGTTGTTTGTTTTATGTTTGAGAGAGTAAGAAAATAGGTGTTTTGAACTACATATAGACGCAATACAATGTGTGTATGGGCTGTAAAGTATTTAGATCAGTCTGCTATTGACAAAAAAATCAAACATAAACATTTATTCATGATATTTTTCTTTAGCCAGTCTTGTTTTCATTGATACGTAAATTTCAAAGGCAAAACTTGTTTATTTTTTTTTTCTTATTATTATTATAATTTAAAATAGATATTAATTTTGATATTGTCACTCTATAAAGAAACTGTGTAAATAAAATTTTAGTTTTATTTTTTATGCAGCTAAATAGCATTATATTATATAGATATGGGTGGTATGTTAATTTTTAAGCGGGTGTTGTTTTTATTTAAATGTATTTTTTAAAATTGCTAAAAATTCCTTTTAAAATTATTATTTAGAAATGTTTATATTGTAATATTTCTGATTTATTTGAACTATTTTTGAAATTTTTATTAACTAAAACAAAATTTCTATAATTAGTAAAATTAAAATTTTGTTTGTAATTTTCGATCGAATGTGATCAACTTAACATCTGTTGTTTTACTGAAGAATTTTTCAAATACATTCAATTGTCGTCATTTTATTTACGATGATTTAATATAAATTCGTTGAATAAAAATGTAGTAAGAGTCTTGTGTTTGCAATAGTAATGACAAAAACTTAAATTTGTAATAACCCAACAAACATTAAGACAAACTTGAGAAGAATATTAGTTTGTTACTACTTTGAAATCCGAAGAATTTTGAAATCTGGAGTTTCTATGGACACACAGACGGACATAGATAAATCGACTTAGAAAGTGATTCTAATCCGATTGGCATACTTTAGGGTGGGTGTAGGACCAATATTTTTGGGTGTTATAAACATTATCACAAATGGGTGATGTTTGTGGTTGGTGTAGGTACACTAAAACTTTCCCATTTGACTCATTTTAAAAATGCTTATATAAAAATGTATTGACATTTTTTTAAAGTAATCGCCCGTTATCCTGAAACACCTCGTTAGTTTGCTATCAAAGCAAATTGTTTACTTGGTTTGAATAAATATACATATTTACCGCAATTTTGTTTATATTTGCTGGCTATTTAGTCATACACTTTTTTGTTTATTTTCAGTTTGTTTTTCTTATTTTATTTCAATGTTTATATTAGAGAATATGTTTATTTTTGCATTCATAAACAGAGATGCCAAATTTAATGAAAAATTTGCAAATATACCTTCTTTTAAAATTTTATTTCACCATTTATACAGAAAATCTTATCAGGTTTTCGAGATATCTTGTCCTAAAATTTGATTTAATCATATTTGAGTTGTTATAATAGCGCGAACACAATTTATCTATAAATTTAATTATATCATCTGATAGTCCAATCTTTCAACTTTAGAAAAAAGGCTAAACCTCTGTGATATCTTCTTTAGTCTTCGAG